CAGGCTCATGGCCACAGCAGCCTCGACCTGCTGGGCGTAGGCTTTCCTCCCGCCTCAGCCTTCCCAGTAGCTGGAACTATAGATGCTCACCACCTCGCCTGGCTAGTTTTTGTGATTTATTATAGAGACCAGGGCTAGCTAAGTTGTCCAGGCTGGTCTTGAACCTCCGAGCTCAGGCAAGGAAAAGTTTTTTATTTGGGTGATACCAGCCAAAGAGAAGGGAGATTGTCTCGTATCCATTCTGTCTCTCCATCCTACCGAGGTAGGGAGCTTATGGGGCGGGGGGCAAGAATGCAGAGAACAGGAATTGGGGAGGGGCAAGAAAAGGATATGATGATTAGGAATAGGGGGGCGGGGATAGGACGCGTTAGGTCACTGAGCTGAGTCGGTGCCACAGATGTGCAAAGAATTGCACAGAAGGTAGATTAGGAAAATAGTTTATTCAGAAAGTAGATTAGAAAAGAGTGTATTCATTTCTTGAGGGAGAGAAGGGGCCAGGGGCTAAGAAGAGTATGGCCCCAAATGTTTAGGACTGGGGGGCTTATAAGACTTTCCTTTGGGGGAGCAGGCAAGCATTCTTGAGTGAGGTAACAGAGTGCTGGCTCCCTGGTGATGGTCTGTCTTCTCATATCTCTGACAACCAGATAGATGCAGGGTGGGCTGTCAGTCACGGGTGGTCAATTGCGTAGACAAGAAGGGGTGAGGAAGAGGAATTAATTGGTCAACAGGTGGGGTCTGATATGTCATTGTTTTGATATGATCTGGTGAGATTCAGTTCCTGGATACTCTAAGCCAGAGGGTTGATTTCCTGAAGGAGGGATTCAGAGAAGACAAATACACGTTTTAAGCTTTAAAACTGGGAGGGTCAATTTCTGTGTTTATTCAGAAAAGAACTGTAACCATCCATTCTCTGGAGAAGTCGGGCCAGTTTCAAAACTCAGCCAGGGAGGGCTCCAGGGAGCGGCACCAGAGGCCCTGAAGGCTCCAGGCCTCTGCCTGCACTGTGGCCCCTGTCCCAGGACTGGAGAATGCAACCTTCCCAGGCGCCGCTTGCTTTCCTGACACCCGCTGCCCCCGGGATAGTCCAGGTTTGTCTGTCCCCGGCCATCCAGGCCCTCCAAGATCCGACTGTTGCCTCCCCCGTCCCGGCCGCTTCCCAGCCTCGCCGCCTTCCCCGCCACAGGCTCTGGGACACCCGGCTCTCCCGCTAGAACTCTCTCCTCTTCTCTTCCAGTCCTTCGGTTCTCAGTTCCAAGGCCGCCTCTTCCGGGACCCTCCCAGACATGGTGGCGAAGGGTCTCAGGCGCTACCACCGAAGGGGCACGCTGTGCTTCCTTCCGGTCTCCACGCCCAGTCTGGAAAAGCGGCCCAGGGCCAGGCACGAGCGGGTGCTGAAGCAGGGCCAGGCGGGCTTCCGGCTGACAGCCAGAGACCCCAGCCCCGGGTCCTTCGCTCGCGAAGACCTCATGAATGGGCGAGGAAACTGAGGCCCAGAGAGCAACGCGGAATGGCCGGCCAGGGTCTCGGCGGCCGGGTAGGCTCCGGCCCGCCCGGCTCCGGAGACTACGAGCGGGACGGCCCGGGGGGCGTTGGGACGGTCAGCGGCCGCCGCTGGCCAGGGGCTCGGCTAGTCCTCAGACCACAACTCCCGAGAGGCCTTGCCGACGGAGCGGCGTCGGGCGGCCCTCCCGGAAGGTGGGTGCTCCCGGACACGAGCGTGGGTGGGCCGGAAAGAGGCGCGTTTCAAAGCGGTGATAGATAGTTGTCTTATCCAATAAGATTGAAAGTATGCCGCCTCGACCGGCAGACCGCCGAAGTCGGCGCGGAGACGGCCAATAGGAATGCGCCGGGGGCGGAGCCGCGGATTCCAGAGCGGAAGTGGCTCGCTGTTGAGGCGGCGGCGTCCTGCTGGAGGGGTCCTCTTCGGCGGCTGGCTAAGGTGCTTCCTCTTTTGAGCGTGTTGGCGACGACGCCTGCGGGCCAGGCCGGCTCCACGTAAGGCCGGCCTTCGCGGGAGGGGAGCGACACGGTGAGGTCCGAGTAAATGCGGGGTTCGAGCGGCTTCGCCGTCTGCGGAGGCCTCGGCGCTCTCCGCCCGGGG